ACTTCCTGGGTTTCAAAGCTGCTAACGTCCAGTGGAAACAAAACCATGAATTCCACAACAGTTTTTATGCCACCCCGTGCACAAAGGTGGCGGCATTTTGACTCCAGGGTGCTTTGCTGACCCAAGACCTGGACAGCTTACCGTCCCTGAGGACGGTATGAGCTCCGCCTGGGAGCATCGGGCCATCTCTCCTTCTTCAGCTGAAGCACAAGCGAACTCTGAAGCAAGACAAGGATCTCTTGCAGAACCTAAGAGAGAAGCCTACAAGAGAACAATGAAGAATCAGATCAGCATTTTGGAAAAGCCAAAACACGATCCAGACTTAAATCACACAGAAATGTTGCGATGGGACTTAAAATAGGAAAGCCGTGTAATAAAACCCCCAAGTGTTATTGAAGAAGTCTGCAATGAAGCAATGGGCCAGGATGCCTACGTAGCAAAGTTACATTAAACACCAAAAATTGGAACTACTTATTTACTCACGCTCAACTCCTTTTTAATATTAAGAAGGTCCATGAAATGTTTTGATACTACTCAATGGCAAAGGTTTACAAAAATTATATTGCAAAGGGAATGAATTCTTTTCACAGTAATATAAAATACAGATAATCAGACCCACATTACAAAAATTGTCTCCCACAATGTATACACATCAGAATCAAATTACATTGAACAGAGTGAGTTGGTTATGAAATGGGTAGCTACGTAAATACGATTTATAAATAGTATATGAATAATAGACACTCTTCAGTCTTTTCTCGATAAAATTAAAGATTATGTTCTCGTTATTCACCATTTAATTGCTGCTGTTGTTTGCTGCATTATTTAATCTATTTTCACCCACAATGTTGCACTGGCATATTTTATTACAGTCATATCTTTGGGTTACTCGTATTATCTTTTTAAAATTACGTACGGCATCCTCAAAGCATAAATTATAAAAATAACTAATCCTTAGTAATTCTTGATTGAACTATTTTTCCAAAAAGTAAAACCAAAGTAAAACCTTGTTGTCTCAAATGACGGCCTAAGAGGTCCACTGTAATCAATCCATACAGATAAATGTTCTTTTCATAACAAGGGCTCAGACATGCTGATTTCAGCCTCCTAAAAATATAAAATAATAAACAACCAAATAAAAACAAATCAGGCTGCTAAAACCACCTATTAAAAAGTGAACAAGGACCAAGCAGGCAGTCCTATTTTTTTCCTACGACAACTATTATTCTGGGTGGCTCTGGATCTCCCTGCTCCTAGGCCAGGCATGCAGGAGGGCGGCCACCCGTTGAATCATGCCAACCTGCTGTGACGGACAGTGGCCTAATCTTTGAGGGCAAGCCTGCCCGGAGAAGACCCAATGGAGCATTTTCACAGCCCTCTGAGGAAAAAATTGACATGCTAAGTGTATTTGGCAAACTGTTGCAAAAAGGGAGATCCAGAAAGAGAGCCAGCTTTTTTCAAATGTGTAAAGTAAGTAACGGTTGCTTCAAATCGCTGAACAGAATTCATGTGGTATATGCCATTTTCTTAATACTCAAAACAAAAACAAATTACAAAACCAATTTCTGTCTACACTGCATGAATTGTACAATAACAAATGTAACAAACCAGTCATAACAATAATAATTACAGCCAAACTATTTCAGGCACCAAAACAACTAGACTGAATAGCATTATCTGAACATGCTATTTGCCACAACTTTAGTGCTTAAATCTGATTGCCTCTTAATTTTTAAATAATCTTGAGATGAATAAGTTTATTGCAGAATCCAATAACAGATTATAACTGTTGGAAGGTACCTTGTAGGTCATCTAGTCCAACCCCCCACCCAGAGGTGTCAAACTCGCGTCGTCATGGTGACGACAGGTGACGTAGGGGCTTTTTCCCCCTTTGCTAAACAGGGTGGGGGCAGGGGCAGCACATGAAGCATCTGGCCCACAGACCGTGAGTTTGACACCCCTGCCCTACACCATATCTGACAAATGGCAGTCCAGTCTCTTCTTGAAAGCTTCCAGTGATGAAGCTCCCACAATTTCTGAAGGCAACTTCTGTTCCATGGGTGGATTGTCCTCACCGTCAGAAAGTTTCTCCTTATTTCCAGGTTGAATCTCTCCTGGATCAGTTTCCATCCATTATTCCTTGTCTGGCCTACAGGCGCTTTAGAAAATAGCTTGGCCTCTTCTTCCTCTCTGGGGCAGCCCCTCAAATCTTGGAAGACTGCTCTTCTGTCTCTCTTTACTAGACTAGCCATGCCCAGTTCTTGTAATCTTTCTTCGTATGTTTTAGCCTCCAGTCCCCTCATCATCCTGGTTGCTCTTCTCTGCACTTTTTCTAGAGTCTCAACATCTTTTTTTATCGTGTGGTGACCAAAACTGGATGTAGTACTCTAGGTGTGGTCTTACTAAGGCTTTAAAGAGTAGTATTAGTACCTCAATTGATCTTGATTGTATCCTTCTGCTAATGCAATTTAGGATTGTGTTGGCTTTTTTGGCTGCCACCGCACACTACTGGCTCATATTTAACTTTATTGTTATTGTAATTTGATATATTTATGGCCATTTTTCTACAGAAAGAATGATTTTAGTACATTTCCTTGGTTATGCTAGATTTTCCAAAGATTCCCCATGAATAACATACATAACAATTATACTATTACAACAAATAACAGCATGATAAAGCAATTCCATTGTATTATTTAACTTACATTGTTATAGCAGAATAAATAGGACTTCAGCCATGAACAAATGGAGGAAAGCCTGAACTAAAACTTTTTCCAGGAATCCAGCAGGGCCATATAGGAATATGAACGTTGCCAAAGACCAAAGGAGATTAAAATTAAAAGAGAGATACTGCAGTACGCACCCGCTCATAAGCCACTTAAAATGGATTTTTCAAACTTAAAAGATGCCTATAGCCCTTGATTTACGACCACAATTGAGCCCAAAATTGCTGTTGTTAAATGAGACATTTCTGCTCCATTTTATGAACTTTCTTGTCACAGTTGTTAAGTGGATGATTGCAGTTAAGTTAGCAACATGGTCATTAAGTGAATCTGGCTTCCCCATTGACTTTGCTGGTTAGAAAGTTACACCAGTGTTCCAGGATCACGATCACATGATCCTGGAACACTGCAACAGTCACAGTCAGCCTCTGAATTTTGATCACGTGACTATGGGGATTCTGCAATTGTCATAAATGTGAAAAAAGGTCAAAGGTTGCTTTTTTTCAGTGCTGTTTTAACTTTGAATGGTCACTAAATGAACTGTTGTAAGTCAAGGACTACCTGCATGGTAATTTTGCAAATAGTAACTATGTACAATTGAATTCTGCCTTCATCTGGACACAAAATTGGCCCCTGAAAAGGCAGAAACCCAGGAAATAAAGTTGTTATAATTTTCAGTACATCAAAACATCAGTTGCAATCTGCTCTTATTATGAAACCTATTATATTTTGTGTTACATCTCTACTGACAATTCATTTTTTAGAATGGCATATTCTAATATTTATCAGAAGTATTTTCACCCTGCAAACGTCAATAATTAAGACTTTTAAGACAGTACTCCAAGCATGTAAACACCCCAAAAAGGGGGTAGAGGTGGGGGTGAAGGCTGGAGGAAAAAAAGAAAGGCAGACCCGCCCTTATCACAAGTTTTGACAGGCAGCTGGAATAGCCACCCTTCTCCAGGGGCAGCCCAGGCTTCAGCATCTCTTTCTGAGAAAAAGCCACCACCATGGGGATGGCAGGAGGAAGGCAGGAAAGTGCAGGGAACAGCCCTGCAAACGGTGAAGCAGAGAAGCTGGTCCTGGCCTGCACCTCACTCCGCCGTGCCAGGCAACGCAAGAAGTGCGGCATTTCATTTGGAAGAGGCAGTCCAGATTTGGGAAGGAAGATATTGAAGGCTGTCGTGGCTTTTTAAAGAAGCCAACATACACCACTAACCATGGACGCCCGCTGTGATTTTAAGTCTAGGAGAACACAGGACCCAGGGATTGTATTTCCACAAACTGCGTCTACTTTTTTCCCTTAATAGGAAGGTGGAAAGTGCCTCAATTCCCAGGGAATTCAAAAGGGAGCTTCTGAATGGGTTAACCGCCTCTGTCTTTATGGCCCACCCTGAGGTTGTCTGAACTGGAAACAGGGCTGGTTTCAGCAGGTGAGGGTGGTGGTGGTGAGGAAAACAGCAGGAGGATTTGGTACCGTCGCCTCGAGTTATTATTTTTATAATAAATACAACAAATCTAAAATTGTCAGAATAGGCTTCTAAACATAGATTGGCAAGGCGCCTTCTGAACCTAGACTGCGGGCACGCACGCACGCACACACACACACACACACACTCTCCCCCAAGTGTCTGGTCCTCAGCAGAGAGAGGGGGGAGGCCGGCGCCCCCCCCCCCCCCCCCCCGCCCCCGCTTTGCTCCGGGCAGGAATTCAAATCCAGGCGCCCATAGCGAAGGGGAACATCCCTCCCCCACACACACACACACCGCCCTCCCCCCACCCTCCGTCGGGAGTGCCTTCCCGGAGCGCAAGGATGGCGATGAGGCTCCTTCTGGCCTCCGGGCCTTCCTGCCCGAAGGAATTTTCCGCTTCCCGGGAAGGGGAGCCGAGTCGTCCGAGGAGGAACCGGCTCGAAGCCCGGGGGTTCCTGTCCTGCCAAGGCTTCCCGCGCCCTCCTCGGACTCGCCGCCCGGCACAGCCGCCTCCTCCCCCACCGCAGGAGCTGGCAGGGCAGGGCTCGGGGGGGGCGCATGGGTGGGTCTCCTTCTCCTCCACACACACACACACACACCGCAGAAAGAGGAGCCCCCGGCCCTCCCCGCGCCGCCCGGTCCCCTCTCCCGGCCTGGGGCCGAACCCGGCGGTTCCCTCCTCCCCTCCCCGGCGGGTTCTCCGCGGACCCCCCCTCCTTGCTCCCTCCCTCCACAGGCCCAGGTCCCCTCCTCCCCCCCCCCCCCCCCCGGGGGCCGAGGCCTAAGCGGAGCCTTCGCCACTCACCACTTCGCGGGCGCGGGCGGAGAAGCCTCCCCTTCCCCGGGGGTCGCGCCTGGGCCAGAGGGCGGCGGGCTCGGCTCCTCCGGGCGGGACGCCCAGCGCCTTGTTGCGCGTCTTCACCGTCTTGACGGAGGCCTTGAACAGCGCCGTGATGTCCGCCGCCGCCATGACGGGAGGGGGGAGGGGCTGGGCCCGAGGCGGGAGGGGGGAGAGGAGGGCCCGGCGAAAGGGGGAGGGGGAGAGTCCGCCCTTTTGCGGGCTGCAGACGGGGGGGGAGGGCAAAGGCCGCGGCCCCTCCGTCCCCAGTCTGCCCCCCCCCCCGCCACCTCTCTGAAAGGCTGCAATGGCCTCTAGGAAGGTTGCAAGTTTTCCTCCATTTAACAAGAGCTCTTCTCGCGACCCTTCGAAGTCGTCACAACGCTCGGGGGGGAAAAGCGACCCGTTTCTCACCCCTTTCTGGCATCCCCGCGATCCCCATTTCGATCTTGGCAACTGTATCAAAGCCCCCCGCTCCCCTCCCCTCCCGCGATCCCCTATTGCGGCTTAAAGTCAATAGGGAAGCCAGATTCGCTTAACAACCCCGTGACTAAGTGAGCAACGGCAGTGATTCACATAACAGCTGTGGCAAGGAAGATCGAAAAATGGGGCAAAACTCGCCTAACAATTGTCTCGCTTAGCAACAGAAATGTTGGGCTCGATTGTCAAGGATGGACAAGGTAGTCAAGGACTACCTGTATAAGTTGCACAAAGAATTACATATTTTTATATGTATAGGATTATAATATATATAGAGAATTACACTTTACTGCTTTAGTGATGATCCCCAGTGTTTAAACACATAAGTCATAGCAATTGGGGCACTTTCTTACTGAAACAAAATTATTTTCCCTGATTTTGTAATAAGATTGCATTTTATTTATTCCATACTTTTCTGGTATGGGGAGAAGAGTAGCTCATAGTGGTGAGTTAATTTAATGCTAAATTTTATTTTAGAGACAGATAGCTTACCTCAAAATCAAGCTTTGTCAGCAAAAGAGAATCCTGTTAGGTTTTTTTTCTTTCTTACGGGTAGTAATATCAGACGCAGTGAATACAAATTACAAATTATTTTCAGGCAAGCTGGCAAACCTCTTGCTTATCAAACTCCCTGAAATTTGTGCAGAGCATGCTACAAACAAGGCCCCTGTGGCTCTGTTGGGAAGCATTGGGCTCATAATCCAGAGTCTTCTTGAAATGGAGGTGAGCAGCCCAGGAAGCCTGGCTCCTTCCTATGAGGTTTACATACTGCATTTGCAATCCATTTTTGCGTCAAGCAAGCTTCCCATACAATCCTATGCTTTTCTATATCTTTATTTGTGTCTTGGACAACGATGTGGAGAAACTGCCTTTTGAATTTGCAGGTTTAGGGTCCCAAAATTGGAATGGAGAGCTGCAATCTCCTGAAGATAATATATATCAAAATTACATGGACAGATAAAATTAGGGAAACAGGCCAACACCCTATATCAAGGTGTCCATAATTATTAGGCAGCCAAAATGGGCCAAAAAAGAGATTTAACTGACTCTGAAAAATCAAACATTGTAAAAAGTCTTTCAGAGGGATGCAACACTCTTGAAATTGCTAAGATATTGGGGTGTGATCACAGAACCATCAAACGTTTTGTTGCAAATAGTCAACAGCGTGGCAAGAAACGTGTTGAGAAAAAAAGATGCACATTAACTGCCAAAGATTTGAGAAGAATCAAACATGAAGCTACCAGGAACCCATTATCCTTCAGTGCTGTATATTCCAGAACTGCAGCTTACCTGGAGTGCCCAGAAGTACAAGGTATTCAGTGCTCAGAGATATGGCCAGGGTAAGGAAGGCTGAAACCCGACCACCACTGAGCAAGACACGTCAGTTGAAATGGCAAGATTGAGCCAAGAAATATCTAAAGACGGATTCTTTGAAGGTTTTATGGACTGAGGAGGTGAGAGTGACTTGATGGACCAGATCAACGGGCCCGTGGCTGGATCCGTAACGGGCACAGAGCTCCACTTCAACTCAGACACCAGCAAGGTGGAGGTGGGGTACTGGGATGGGCTGGTATTATTAAAGATGAGCTAGTTGGACTTTTCAATCTACTGGCAGTTTTTAGAAGAACTTTCTTCAAGCAGTACAGGAAAGTCTGCATCTTTCAAGACCACCATGATTTTTATGCAGGACAAGACTCCATCGCATGCATCGAAGTCCTCCACTGCGTGGCTAGCCAGTAAAGGTGAAAGAATAATGACATATGGCCCCCTTCCTCACCTGTCCTAACCCCTATTGAGAACTTGTGGGTCCTCTTAAATGGGAGATTTATGGTGAGGGCAAACGGTATACCTCTCTGAACAACATCTGGGAGGCTGTGGTTGTTGCTGCACAAAAAGTTGATCGTCAACAGATAAAAAAACTGACAGACTCCATGGCTTATGACTGTTATTGTAAAGAAGGGTGGCTACATTGGTCACTGATTTTTTTTTGGAAATGTCATAAATATTTATTTGTACATTTTGAGTTTATTATTCTCACTAACAGATGCAAATAAAGGAGTCAGATGGGCAACTTTTCATTTAGTTGTATAATTCTGCACACTAATCATTGCCCAATAATTCTGCATGCATAGATATTCTCCTAAGACAGCTAAAACCTCAGTTTTACTTCCTTAAATATTCAGGTTTGAGGTTTATTAACATTTTGGATTGACCGAGAGCACTATAGTTGTTCAATAATGAAATTAATCCTCCAAAATGCAATTTGCCTAATAATTGTGCACACAGTGTATAGGATGAAAAATGCCAAGATGTTCCCAAGGGGGAACTCTCCAACACCCTGAAAGAAGGGGAAGCTGCAGCAAGAGAAAACTTTACTGTCAGTTTAAATATGGAGGCATGCCAACTTTAAGTGCAGACATTTTACACAAAGAACAAGGAGCCTGTGGGAGACCTTTTGCCACTTGCAAGATGAAATGGGTTAAAAAGGCAAGCATTTTTTAAAATTTTGCTCTCAGTCCTCACCCAATTCCAGGTTTAGAAAGGTTTGGTTTTCAGTTCCATAAACACCATGAACTCTGCAGAAGTTTTAGGATGAGATGAGATGCTGCACGTGGTAGACCTGCATTCAGGCTGCCCAAGCACAAGGTATTCTCTATGATGGATTTAGCAGGTGGAACCACGGCATGCCCTGCTAAACATACATCAAGTATTATGTTTATAAATCAGATGTTATGCAAGGAAGATGGGCAGTTAAGAAATGTGAAATATAAATAAATATGCCGGGATACAGAACATTTTAATGTTTCTATTTTTGCTGTAGGTTTTCCCCAAACTTCTTTTATTCATGAATTAATCACTCCAGAGTCTGAGATCACAAAATTCTTCACTGTCTATCAATCATTCCGGTCATCCATCATCAGTGTCTTGTCATACACACGTATTCTGTTCACTGAAATATTTGTATCTCCAATCAGAATAGAATAGAATTCTTTATTAGCCAAGTGTGATTGGAGACATGGACGTCTCAGGCTTATTAGACATCACTTGTAAGAGGAGGAAAGGCTGCCTCCTCCCACAAGTAGTTTATTATTCCTGTCCCTACACACACGTGCGTGCGTACACACACACTCTGCCACCCGTTCTTCCCGGAGCTCCTGAAGTCTGAAAGGAATGTTGCCTTCCCCTGCCTCCCCCTCCATGACTGGTCTTCGAAGAGGACCTTACCTGCATTTCTCCTTCTGGAGCAGGATTGGGAGCTCTCTTGAGCATTGACCCTCTGCAAATAAAAGATGAAAGTCCCAAGACTCCTTTGCAAAGTTTAAATGGGAGGCTGGGTGTTCAAGCTTTCCTTTGAATTAAAGTTATTGGGGGGGGGGGGGGTGTTCCGTGTGTTTGTGAGGCCACTAGAGGGAGCTGAAAGAAAAAATACCTGAGAGCTGAAAGAGTCTCAGTATTGTAAACTCCACCCCCAAAACCTGAGCGTTTTTTTGGTCCCCTGGTATTATGGCAATAGGAAGGTGGCCAAGGGCACCACCGAGGACCACCAGTGGGGGGTTGGCTCTGGACTTTTACCACTGGAATGGCTGCTGGTGTGTCCACACTGGATGTTGCTGTACAGGAGACATGAGTTGCCTGAGGCTGGTCTCCTCCTGCCTTCTCTCCCAGTAAGGTTATGTAACGGGAATCATCACCCCCATTTGCTCCAGGGCCCAGCTGGGTCCCTCTCTCTGGGGCCATGGCATTCCCAGGTCAGGGCTGTCTCTTGGGCACCTGTTCTACCTTCCCAAGCCACGGGCTGCTATTCTCATGATGCAGTAGCCCTTTGCTGCTGCTCAGGAAGCCTCATAATGGCAGGCCTGGGCCTCTTTCCAAAAGAGCAGATTGAACTGCTTGGCCTGCATGGCCCCTGGGTAAGAGAGGTAAGGAAACAAGGTGCTTGCAGTTTGACTGGGGGGGGGGGGAGTTGAAGGGCCCTTGGCTTCTGCTAGACCCTGAGGGAGTGGGGAGGTTTCACGCTCACCATTTCTTAGGAGAAGGAGGAGGAGGAGAAAGGGGCATGCACAACAGACAGCAAGAAATGCCTTTTTTCATTTAATTTGATGTTTATTTGAATTCTTTTGTTATTGGTCATTTGGCTTGCCCTCTGAAGTATGATACCATCAAAAACATTGGAAGAGGAGGAGGATTTTGGCAAATTCTGGGTCTAGAGCCCCTAGGAAAATAACAATCATCCTTGGTGGATATAATGAGGAGGTGTCTTATTACATAATTGAGGAGACAGTCTTGGTTATAGGCATGTTGGTTCACTTTTCACACTAAATTAATCATAATAAGCATCTGCTTTGAATAAAGAGAGTTTTGTGATAATTCAACCATGACCTCTCTGGAAGCCCAAACAGTTTTGCCTCACTTTCTCAGTCTGGATTAGTCTTTTGAAATGTTCCTTCTTTGCTTTAGTATAATCACTGTGTTAACATGAACTGATTAATCCCATCAGCCTAACATTGATATTATGACTGAAGTGGACATTTTCCAGCAAATTTCTGGTGATGACACCATCGGTTTCATCACCCGCATCTGAAGAAACTCAGTGGTGCTTACAGCATCATTAGCTTCACATCTGCACAGAAAACCCTAAGGCAGGGGTCGCCAACCTTTTGGACTT